AAGCTGCAGAAAAGGAAGATTTGGTTTGCAAGCTGAAGAAGTCTCTTTATGATTTGAAGCAGTCACCAAGACAGTGGTATAAGAGATTCGACGACTTTATGATTGGCCGAGGGTACACGAGGAGCCCATATGACCCATGTGTTTATATGCACAAGCTACAGGATGGTGAGCTCATATATTTGCTTTTATATGTTAACGATATGCTTATTGCTTCCAGGAATTCTTCGGCTATTCGAAAGCTGAAAGAGGAGTTATCATCCGAGTTTGAGATGAAGGATCTTGGTGAGGCAAAAAAGATATTGGGTATAGAGATCGAGAGAGACAGGGTGAGAGGGTGTTTGAAGCTTACACAGAAGAACTACTTGCAGAAGATGTTGAAGAAATTCAGCTTTGATGGAAATGCAAAAGCAGTTAGCACACCATTGGCTCCCCACTTCAAGCTTTCAGCGTTGATGTTACTTGTTTCAGTTGAGGACAGAGATTATATGTCGAAGGTCCCATATGCCAGTGTAGTAGGTAGCTTGATGTATTTCAGTTGAGGACAGAGATTATATGTCGAAGGTCCCATATGCCAGTGTAGTAGGTAGCTTGATGTATGTGATGGTATGTACGAGGCCAGATTTATCACAGGCCGTGAGCATGGTATCGAGATACATGCACGACCCCGGGAAGGGTCACTGGGAGGCCGTGAAGTGGATTCTACGGTATGTTCGAGGCACCGTGGATGTTGGTTTAGTATTTCAGAAGGATGAGAAGGATGGGCATGCTTGTATTGGATATGTGGATTCAGACTATGCTGGAGATCTTGACAAACGCCGGTCTACGTCAGGTTATGCTTTTACATTTGCAGGGGGGCCTGTATGTTGGCGTTGCACGCTCTGAAGCAATTAAGGAGACTTTATGGTTGCGTGGATTATTGGAGGACTTGGGGATTGCTCAGGAGACTATTCGGATATATTGTGATAGCATGTCGGTTATCTATTTAGCGAAGAACCAGGTTTATCATGCGCGCACTAAGCACATCGACGTCAGATTCCACTTTGTACGGGACGTCTTGGATGATGGTGATGTCATATTGGAAAAGGTCCACACAAATGACAATCCTGCAGATATGTTGACCAAAGTTGTTTCAGGAGTGAAATTTGGTAATTGTTTGAAGCTTTTGAACATCCTTCAGTGCTGAGGCCTTTGGAGGCCATTTGGGTGAACTACGTTCGGCTTGATTTCTTGGGCAAGAGGATACGTAGGCAGTCTTTCAGATGCAGCCGGTTTGATCAGTTGATTCAGATGGGGGGGAGATCACGTTTCAGCTCTAGATTGGTTCCCTGACTTGTTGAGGGACTATTGGATGATTTGGTGTCGGCTCAGTTTTGATGGAAACATTCGCCGAGGTGGAGAATTGAAGAATTACAGAGAATCAGGAAAAATCAGCAGAGAGTTGGGCGGTCGACCGGCGCGATCGACCGCAAACGTGCACCAGACCGACTGGGAATCGGACTCGGCACGGGCAGACGGCGTGGCGTGCCTGTAGGCCGCGTCCCGAGTGTGTTCGCGCGGCTCTCTGCACGTGCGTGGCGGGTCTCGACCGGCGCGGGTCGACGCGAGCTGGTGTGCGTGAGTCGACCGGCGCGGTCGTACCGCGGATGACTGTAGATTTTCTGCTCTCGGGTTTTGCATGATTTCGGGTCGAACCGGTGGCGCCGTCGACCGCGAGACCTGTGCGGGACTCGACCGACGATGATTTGGACTGGGCTTCAGGTTGTTTTGCACGCGTTTCGCTCTTTGTAAAACGTAATATATAACCCTAAACCTGATTTCGTTTTAGGGTTATCTGTAGGACGCATTTGAGCCAGCCTCTCAGACGAGATTGTGTTGCCATCCAATTGTTGGGAGAGCTTTGAGCGAGATCAAGGCTGCTTGTTTTAGGGTTGGCGATGCTGAGCCAGATTTGTCAACCCTATGCTATTCTCTTGATTTCTAATAGTAAAATCCCCCCCCCCTCCTTGTCCCGTGGACGTAGGCGAATTGCCGAACCACGTAAATTGTGTGTTCTTGATGTGGTTGTGGTTTGCATATTGTTTGTTGTTTAGTTCGAGTTATTGTTTGTGTTGCCTGAGAAAGCTTCCGCCGCGCACAACAAGAAGTTCACAGGAAATTGACGAAGTTTGAAGAAATCTACGAAGGAAACTAGAGAGAGGTTTTGTAGATGAAAATGACTTATGAAAAGGAAAAGGTCATCAACAAAGAAACAAACAGTGTTGCTCACTTTGATTGCAACAGTCACAAGACTAACTTGTGACTTGAAAACCCAAGTACACGTTGGCTAAATTTTACTTGAACAAAGTACGTGAAAATAACCGACAAAGAAAATTATAAAATTGTCACTGAAAAGAAAGTTAAGTCAATGTCAATGCATGCTTTTGGAATTAATCTGAGATGATGCCTTCCCCGGTAAGAGAATAGTCTTATGAACTGTTTGGCTATTTCCAAAAAAAAAAAAAGGAAATGGAAATGTCACTTGTGAAATGATTTCAGCCCATTTCAACATATTTCCTATATTTCTTTTTTTGTTTGTTTTGCAAAGAAAACTCTCATTTTCACTGCCAAGTTACACAAAAAACAAAAAAAAACCACCATAGTAACAGTAGTATTGATTTCTATTTTTTTGTGTTTGTTTGAGAACAAAAAAAAGGAAATGAGAAATCAGGAATTTAAGTATTATGTTTTATTCTTCTTCACTATTCCAACAGTGTTTTTATTAATTAATAATTCTCTGAAGTGATATTTCCCAGTGTTTTCATAGGTTTTTGTTGTGAAAATAGATTTCTTGAAAATGTGAGGTGGCATCCTATGTGGCACTTCATTTCTTGAAATTTAAAAACGAAACAAACATGAGAAATGGAAAACTCTTGAAAACAAAAACCTATGTGGCACATGGGGGTTTTCTTGAAAGGTGAGGTGGCAGGACATTTCTGATTTTTTTTAGCAAACGAACAGACCCTTAGGGCCCGTTTGGATAATGGAAGTATTAGAAGTAAAAAGTAGGTTATAGAAGTAACTTTCAAAGTTATAAGACAACCTTAATTGAAAGTGAAACATGTATTTTTTTTATAAGACAACCTTCTCCATTAACAAGCAAATTTACAACTACACACGCTAATTAAAAATTCAGTAGGTTACATTGTGAACAAAGGATAGAAATGAACCACTAAAAAGTTTCTTGATTGACCATTCCATATAGGTATAGACCAGCTAAAGATTTCCGACTTGTTTGGTTAGTGAAAAATTGTAATTGTGGCTGCAATTAGCAGAGTGATAGTTCTAATTTGTAGCTATTTTTTTCATCAGAACCGCAAATCATTTATCTATTTTAATTTTCAACTCAATTATTATGATACAACAAACAAAAACAGCCATAATTTCAAATACATCTACATTATGCAAACGACATCTATAATTACAGTTATAATTGCCAACAAACAGAGCAGGGCTCATGCAATAAAAAGATGCAAAAGAATATAAATCTCAGAAAATCAAGTCATATACCTTATCTACATAATTCCGTAGCACAATAATATCATAGATGATAGAATCATCAGAAAGAATTGATATTGCAAATGAAAAGATGCTTAATCAAACAAGCGAATAACATATAGGTTCATTATTTCGTCAAACACAAATAAAAAATTTCAAGTGACACAGATAACAACTCACAAAAAAGCAAAAAAATAATCTTTTCCAGTAAACTAATAGGTACACGCTAACTGATTTTATCTGAACAAAGTTAATGAAAGCACTTGCAAAGACAAATGTATATTTGCCACAGTAAAAAAAAAGAGAGACAAGTCAAGATAAGACAAGGTCTTATTATTCTTATTCTTCTTCTTTTTTTTTTATTTTTATCTTTTTCGGAATGAAGTCAAGGTCAAGACACTAGGTTGAGAATTAAGATGAGATGGTGCCTTCCTCAAGTAAGAGAATAGTCTAAATTGAAGTTGAAACACGTTAATATAAGACAATCTTTTCTAATAAACAAACAAGTGTAAAGCTACCCACAAAGTAATAATTCAGTGGATTGCATTAGGTAGACATAAAAATTATACCACCAACCAGCTTCTTGATTGGCGATTGCATGTATAAGCAAAAGCGAGAGGTTAAAGATTTCAGAGTTGTTTGTTCAGCAGATACTTATAAGGCGCTTTTAAAAAAAAAAAAACAATTTCATAAAATATAGAGCATTTTACAGATATACCTACTTGTTGCACATATGACTTATTTTTACAATTACAGCTACATATTTCATACTTTTTACAAAAGACTACATTCACTGCTAAACAAACAACTATAAATTCAAATGCAGCTAATTTTTGCGAATAATACAAATAATAACTATGCTTATAATTGAAATCCTCACAAAAGCACTCCTCACACAACATATCACCTATCTAGCTGGTTCACTTTCATACCGCACCAATATCACATAACATTCAAAGAACATGATATCACAAATCAAAGATGCACACCATACCTAGTTCAATTTATTTTTCGTTAGTTAATTATTTAATTCAAGATCATACCACACAAATATCTCATAAGTCATAACAGTCACAAAAACCTAATATCACAAATCAAATATGCATCATCTAACCTGTGACTAGCAACTTGAAGTAGCAAAAGAACACGAAGCGAAATAAAGATCCAATCTTTAAAACCTCTTGACATTCACGAGGCTGCTCACGAACGGCACAAAATCAGCACGGTATCCAGGTCCAGGTTCCCCGGCCACCCTCTCACTCCCCCACTCAACATCCGTTGCCGTCACCGCCTTCCTGATCGGGTCCCACATCGCCACCTCCCTCTCCCCCTCTCCGCCTTCCTCCAGCTGTTCCCCCCATCCCAAACCCTGACCTCCACTTTCGCCGAATGCCCTGCGTTCACAACACACAATTTCCTCCCAATTTCCCCAATTTGCCATTGCCTTTCTGTCTCCACCGGACAAATCATCTCACGCCACGTGTCCGCCACCGGATCGAACGCCACCACGCTCTGCAATGTCGTCCTCCAGTACGCAGCCCCCAGTACCGACACCCCTGAACCCGACAACCCGACACGATCTTCTCTGCGGCTACAATCTCGTTCGAATTTCTCCACTCCCATTTCTCCGAGGAGAAAGTCTCGAACCCAAAAACCCCTTCAAAGATCTCATACGCGCAAACAAGAAAAAAATCCGCATCAAAGTTGTAGGTTACGGGTTCTTGCATCACAATGACGACAGCAGGGTCGTCTCCATGGTCGTGGGCCGGGGGCGGCAGCAAGGCCCATTGTGCTGTCGTCGGGTTGCACATGTAGTATTTCAAACTCCGACGGCCTCTGCAGCAGATCAACCCATAATTCGACGCTTTAATATGAACAGGCTCAGGGAGGAAAGAAAGCGAAGGATCAGGCAACAAGCAAGATTCGACGTCGAGCGATACAAACGATGGAGACCCCCTCGAGTTGTGGAAGAAGAAGCCCGATAAAGATCGGGCGGTTAGAGAGTGCGTGTGGATGAAGAACGGGCTGGAGATCCATCGGGCCCAACGGGCCGAAGCGGGCCCGAGGCGGAGGAGGGCTCTTGTGGGGAGACGAGGGAAAACGTCCTGCTCGATGTAGTCAAGAGAGAATTTTTCTTCGGCCATGATTTCGGGGATGCAATCGCCGAGGACTGCTTTCAAGAAGGTGAGATCGTCGTGATCGGAATCTTCTTGGGGGCAGTAGAATCTTACCATGTCGACGTCGTCGTCGTCGTCCGATTCTTGTTTGCGCTTTTGTTCCTTTTTCTTGACGACGAACCAGTCGGAGTCGGTGTCGGAGTCGGTGTCGGTTCTAGCGGCCGGCTCTTCGTCGGAGGAGGAAGAGGAGAGGTCGGAGGAGAGCTTCTCCCAATCTGAGGAGTTGTAGTCTTCGGTGGCCATTGTAGTTGGCTTTTTGATTTCTGGGTTCACTTCAAGAAAAGTATTTATAGGGTTTTAGAGAGAGGGGAAATGGGATGGATTAGGGGTTTGATTTCAATTTACTTGCGTGCAAAGAAATCTGATTAAGGGTGGAATCATTTGATTTGATTTGATTAAATTAAGACTACTGTTGCGCGATGGTATGTTGACCGTCAGATTAAGCCCAGTGATCTCTTTAATAGCTATTTTTTAAGGGCTTGTTTGGATTGAGGGGAATAAGGGTGAAATGAAGTTAGGGGAACCATTCACTTCTATTTATCTTTTTTGGGAACATTTAGGAGGCAAAGTTATTCATCCTAGTTCCCCTTAGTTCACGTCCTAATAGTATAAAATTTGTTACCCTCAAACTGAGGTGTAACTAAGGGGAAGGGAACTCCGTTCCCTTCCATTCTCTCAGCTAGATTCCCTTAACTTTCCTTCACCCCTTACAAATCCAAACAGGCTATAAAGGTTTATGAAAAAAAACGTGATCAGTTTTAAGGAGGACGTGGTAAGATAGGGAAAATGTGTACTCCACAATTACGAAAACCGAATACGGGATAAGGTGATATAGGTAATAGGTGAATATCATTCTTTAAGTAGTGCTTTCACTTTTTTTTCCCGTAAATCAAGAACCAAATTCGATAAGATCTGTTCAAATTTTAAAGAAACTAGTTTTATGCACATGCGCACATGGTTAAATATCAAAATAATTTATTTATTACTATAAATAAGTAAGATTCATTTTGATTATTAGATTTGTTATACTTTTTATTTAAACATTGTAAAAAATCGATCTAATGGATTTTGTATTAAACTGGAATCAATATACTTAATTGGGATATCATTGTTGATTTCCTAAAAAAAGATATTAATTGATATAACAATATCTTCAAGTAGAATAATAAAAAAAATAAGTTAAATTGATAATATATATCATATTCTAAATTCTACTAATCCCAAGTTATAGTATGGAGTCAAGGATGAATAACAATATCATTATGAACTATAGTTTTAGCAATAAAGAAATAACATTTCTTATTGCATTAAAAATAGAATTGCACAATACTTTTCAACATTATAAGCTAAAGATTTATAATAAACAATCTCAAAAGCAAATATAGAAAAAAAGAAGTACGACAAGCATGATACATATATATGAGATTAGCCTACATTATTTAATAGACTTAAAATAATAAAAAGATTAAAACTAAAGATTAATAGTAACTATAGTATAATTTTATGTGATAAAAGCAATCACATAAGCATACAAAAATCTTAAAAAATTTGCATGAAAATTCCTTCTAAAATTTCCTAATTTTACTCAAAAAATTAAGTTATAATATAAAATGTTGAAAAAATATTATAATTTTATTCTTTTTGTTTCATATTTTGATTGAGTCGAGATCAATCTTTCTCCACATTTATATTTTTCCTAGGCAATTCTAGAGTAACGTCTTTATCATCTACGTCAACTGTGATATCATGTTGGAGTTGGATTTCTTAAAATTGATCTCTTCAAATAATAGAGTCCAACACAAAAATCAACATATTTGTCTTTTGCTCCTCCCTCGAAAACCATAACCCTAACCATGAAATGGGTTTGTACATAATGAAGAACAAAAGATAATGTCAAGAGAAAAAAGGAAGAAGAAGGAATTGAATAAGAATCGCTAGGTTTTGTACATAATAAAGAGCAAAAAATAAGACAAGAGTCTAGAAATATATTAGGATATACTTGGATCAATTAAATTATATTATTACACATAATTAATACGCATAAGAGACAAAATATGTTGACAATTTTAAACTATAAAATAAACTGTATGGACACTCTAATATAATTTTTTTCAATGCAAGTAACCCCCAAGATTAATTTTAAAAATCTCTTGGTTTTGTGAAAGAGTTTGGGTGTACAAATGTTAAATTATCTAATCCGATTAAAGTAGGATCATATAAGTTAACTCCAAACAAGAAATTTATTTTAACCAAAACCTATATATAAGTATTATAATTGACATTGAGATCTAAAAAATGTGTGAGATTCTCTTTGACTTTTATACAAACAATATTTGTTTAAATAATAATAGTATAATTAAACTTTATGATCCAAAAAAAATTAAATATACAATATAATTAATTATTTTAAAATAATCTAATCTAATCTAATAAGAAGAAAATAGATAAAAGTATTATAAAAGTTGTTGCAATTTCATAATTCATAATTTTTAAACAATCTATTCTAATCTAATTAGAAGAAAATAACAAATGCACATACATGTTGAAGAAGATGAAAATGCTATGAAAATTATTACAATTTATTGATCTCGAAAAAAAATCAAACATACAATATAATTAATTGCTTTAAAATAATCTAATCAAATCTAATAACAAAGGCACATAACTGTAGAAGGAAATAAAAGTGCTATAGAAATCGTTATAATTTCTTGACTTATATATATTGGCATGTGATGTTACATATAATGTTGCATGCGAGAGGATAACAATTTTAAATAGAGTTCTATTTAAATAATAATAGTATAATTAAACTTTTAAAACTAATTATGCAGTACCTTGAACTACTTGAATTTTAGTTGGTGAGAGATTGCCACTTTGTGTGTAATTATTAATCATATAGCATGTGAATAATTGTTTGCAGTTTGGCATTATTAATATATAGCAAGTGAATAATTATTTACAGTTTGATCATTGATCACATATAAGAGCAAGGGGGTAAATTTGGCATTTGATAAATCTTCTAATTTATCTAAGCTTGCCGCGAACTACTTGAATTTTAGTCGGTGAGAGATTGTCATATCGTGTATAATTATTAATCATATAACATGTGAATAATTGTTCGCAGTTTGGCATTGTTAATCATGTAGCACGTGAATAATTGTATACAGTTTGAACATTGATCACATCTAAGAGCGAGGGGGTAATTTGGCATTTATAAATCGTCTAATTTAGTTAAGCTACTCTTTCATTCATGTTTACATTTCGATTTAAACTATATCCTTATTTTTATACTATGTATATCCAATAAGAATTTATCAATTTATCAACTTACTCTTATTTAATAGTTTAGTATTTGAATTCCGAAGGTATTTTTGTCTACTGAAAGATTTTCTTGAACTCGTGCTTTTAAAGAGAGCATGATGTAATTCATAAAAAGATATTGACAAAGTATTGTTCATAACTATTTTTATGGGAATTTTACATCCATCTATTTATACTCTATGTTACTAAATTTATACCCTAAAGCAAAACCTTTGAGTTTAACCTTCCCATCAGAGCTTGACAAATCAGTTCCTCCTTTTTCAAAAAATTTCACTGTATATTCCCAATCTAAGTCATCCATATTAATCTTCTTTGCCAAGTCATCCAAGCAATTACAATTTCTTTGCCAAGATTTGAGATTAAACTTTGAGGGTGTGATTTATAATTTTTAGAACTTCGAGAGTGTTTTTTTAATTCCTTTTAAGTTTGGTGGTTATAACTTCTATTTATGCTTCACCTGTCGGTGGTAATTTTTATATGTTAGGATATTTCTTGTAACTCTAAATTTTAAGGGTATTTTTTACAATTATTAAAAATTCGGGTTATTTTTTAAAAAATTAGATTTTAATGATCTGCCAATAGTTTCCGGATTTGATGTGTACTGGTTATAAATTTTAAACTTTTAGGTGCTTGAGGGTAATATCTTGAATTCATCTTTGTTGTTTGAAATTTTTAAAATTTTAGAATTTTAGGGTGCTTTTTTATATTTTAAACTTTTGAGGGTGTTTCTATAATTTTTGAGACATTGATTGAGGTTGTTAATTACAAAGTTTAAATTCTTCAGAGGCTGCTGTTAATATCTTGATTTCATGTTTATCATTTTAAGTTTTGAAACATCAAAAGATTTTAGGTGCATCATAGTAAACCCTTGAATTCATCTATGTTGTTTGCAAGCTTTAAAATTTTAGAATTTCATGGTGCTTGTTTGTAATTTGAACTTTTGAGGGTGTTTCTACAAGTTTTGAGATATTGAATTGTTAACTATAAATTTTAATTAATATTATTTTTTAAAATTATTGAGCTACAGATAGTTCATGTGGTATTAGGATAGGATATATTTATCATTAGGATATATTAAGATTTAAATAAAATATTTAAAATATTAAAGGTAATATTGTCCATAAAAAGTTTTTCTTGAACTCATGCTTTTAAAGAGAGTATGATATGATATGATATATATCTCTCAATATTTAATATATAGGAATTTTTTTAACTAATATATATTTATTATTAAATTATTAAAAAGTGATATCTTACTGAATCTTAATTTTGTAACACATAGACTTCTTAATCAACCGTTTATCTTTATAAGTGTAAAACCTAACCATTAGTTTTAAATCAATACTTGGAACATGGAAAGAAAAAATATAATTGCTGAAATCTTGTATGGAATTAACTTTATTCTTCTTGATAACGAGGTATATTTAAATTTTTATATATAGTTATACTTGTAATTTTAAATAATATTAATTTACTTTAATTTTGATATGCAATTTTAAACAGAACATGCATGTACATGGTTTTTGCCATAAGAATGATGCATTATGACTGAGAAAATTAATTTAAAAATTCATATTTTCTCAAACATAAATATTGTTATTGCAAGTAAGATGTACAAACTAGTAAGCACTCCGGTATCTATTTGTATTATCGTACAAATATCAAGGCTCTAAAGGAGGATGACAATGATATATAATAATACAAATTTGAATATCTTCCTTTATGGAGAGATTGAATTAAGAATCGATTCAAACGAATTTCTTATAGGTATGTATTAAATTTATATTCCTCATTGATTATCATGTATATCAAATTATACTAAACTTTAATTATTTTCTTATATAGATATGATTGGAATAGTTGATAAAATGTATGTGATTGACAACATAAACAGGAATGGAAAAATGTTTTGTTTGAAAGATTTAGAATGCATGATAATATAAGTAAGTTACAATTTTATTATTGTGTGTATGAAATATACATAAATATATTTTTATAACAAAAAATATTAAATATTTTTTTATTATT